ACTATAACCAAATCTTGGTAATTATAACTAAACCTTTTTCTGAGTGTGGGTGCGTATCTGGTGAGAGTGGTCCGAGTCAATGTTTAGTCCTTGAAGTGTACGTACATCACTGGAAGCAGGACTTTCGTCTATCACAACAAGATCAGTTTGGTTTTTCGTTTTTTGACCAGGATACAGCCATGCAGCTTGATGGATATTTTTATGCTGAAACCTAGTACTGCATACTATAGATCAATTTTTAAGTCCCGAACCCGCGACGGAGTCCCTCTCCCACTGCAAATGCAATACCGCATTCGCGCTCCTTTACGTGCAAGCTGTAGTAGGCGTCGCAAGGCCCCACGAAATTTTTGTTTAACCCCGTCCATCGTATCTCTTCTCTTCATAAGGACATCAACCAGCCAGGCAGGGCACCTTCCCCATTAAGGGTACGGAAGTTGCAGGTACATTCCCTTAAATCGCAGTCCTTTAAACGTTTATCGTGGTAGTAATCAAAATAAGGGGTCTTATCCGAGGCTTTCTTTTTTTTACATGGTGGCTCCCAAACCAGCGCCCAACCCGTTTTTTGGTTTATGTACTATAACAAAATTTTTAATATTTTATTTTACAGTTAACATAATATCATGGTTTTCGAAGTTTAAACAACATAAAAAGTTTTCAGTTTTCTAGAGTTCAGTCGCTTTGAGCTTCCTTAAAGCGAAAGTACACAACGTCCATTGCGTCACCGACGCCGTCACCGTCATTGCCAGCGTCAACGGTGCTTATGCGACAAGTTGAAGACTCTCCGTACACCATTACGCCCTGTAAAGCAAAAACTCACTGCTACTCTTTGACAAAATTGCGTTTTTACTTTTCTTTCATCCTGTTTTACATTTCTTATTTAAATAAATCCAAAAATTTTTACAAACTGAAAAATTTTAGTTCAAATATGTAAACAAAACCAGACTAGTTGTCACTTGAGCCAATTTGAGCGTCACTGTCACCGTCACCTTTGTCATGTAACTTACTTCATACAAATACACCAGTTCAACTTTTTTGACAACTGATGGTGACGGTGACAGTGACGCAATGGACGTTATGTACTTTCACTTTTAAGCTGATGCCAGATAAAACTTTGTAGCTTTGCGTGACATTTATAATTTTGCCAGCAAAGCGCCAGACGCAAAAGGTATGCCACAATGAACGCCAAGAAAACAATTTTGTACTGCTTTTTTACTCTTCAAAATTGCTGTGGATTTTATATATTTTGCTTTAAAATTATTAGCAATGTAATTAAGTTTTATGTTTCTGCATGGAAACTCGAATTTGGACGAAACAAAATAAATATTAAACCGGCTGATTGTCAAAGCGTGCAAATGATGGGAGTTAGCCATCTTTTCGCTTCGCGCTGCAGCTTCAACGATCTATGTGGCATTCTTTGTGCATTTTCATACAATTCATCTCATCTGTCAAAGCGAATCTGTCACGTAAAGCGAAGCAAAAGTTTTATGTGGCATCAGCTTTTGAGTGTGTTTTTTTTTTCAAATCTTAAAAAAAATATTTCGTAATTCCTACCAGAAGCGAGGCGGAGTATTCAAAAACTTTATATATTCTCCATGTAACGAAGGTCCACTTAAATTTGCATACATACGTACATATCTATACGAATAACACCTCTGCACATTTGATACTATTTCTCGTCATAATCAAACTCAATTTTACAACCATGACTAACTGCTTAATTTTAACTATTTTCTTCAACAGGATCATTTAGAGAGCTTACCCGACATAATATCACGATGTCTAACCCAACATCAAGAACGCATAGAACAACGGAAGAACTTTCTACATCCAGACGCAGCGGCTACTTCAATACAGCCTTCGCCGCAGTCCCTGTTCAATGCATCACCAATGTTATTTCCCCACTCAAGGTTTGTGAAAAATTCGTTTATTTTTCAAGTATATGCAAATGCCTCTCCGTGCACTTGTTTTGTTGTATTGGATTCCTCCCTGTCCACATCCACAAAATTTTACACTTTCATGCAGAAAAAACATTTCTTAAAATGCAGTGCCCACAGGAATTGCTCATATTGTCTATTACTTTAAGTTCTTGCGATTGTTTTGACAAACAAATTCTGAAGTAAATTTTTAAATGCGGCGCAAGGAATAGGTTCCATAAATAAAAAAGCATTTGGAAATAACCAATATTGCGACAGAAAATTATTAAATCAATTGAGTTATCTTTAACTGCTGGGAGGCCAAAATTTAAGTACCTTTTAAGTTAAAACTGCAGTCAGTATTACAGTCTGAATCGATTTATACTCAAACTATGACAGTGTTTAGGTTAGGTTAGGTTAGGTTCGAGTGGCTGCAGTGTCCGGTGATTACACTACTAATCTGAGAGAGGAGCGGTACAGCCGAGTAAGAGTTATAGATCGCTTTACATCAATCTTTGTCCGAAGGATTTCAGGCCTATAAGCCTCACTTCATTCTTTCTTAAAACTCTGTGTAGACTGCACTCCACGAAATCGTTTCGATGATTGAAAGAGGATTGGCCACTTGATATCGACAGTGCGTTCAACAATGTCTACCCGAAGTCTGTTGTTAACTCCCTTCTCATGGCGGTGGTGCAGCGGGGTCTGATGGATTTTGTTGGGCTCCTTCTTGAGAAGAGAACTATTTTATCAGAATTGGGGAATGGTTCCATTACAAAATATGTGATCAGCTCTTAATTTTTACTTTGGAAGTATATCGTCACCTGAAATGCAAAAAGACGTAACAACATCGTAAATGAAAAGGAAAAGTGATAAATGATGTGGAGAGTTGTAATTCGATGAAATCCATAATATAAATCAAAAAGTGAATTTTGAAGTTTTTATTAGTTATGACTTTTTGCATTTCAACGATGATATTTGTTACGTCTTTTTGCATTTCAGGTGACGATATGTAAGTTAAAAAATTTAATGTCGTTTTTCTAGGTTTTTTGTGTTTTTTGGGCTATGACAGTGTTGAAGTATATGAGCGTTATGTTCCTTTTCACGACATTCATATTGGATATCGAAAATAATTTTCGAACGTTCGCCAACAAAACGTTGCTTTCCCTCGGTTTCGCCAACTCGGACTATCCTCCAATCACTGGTGAGCAGTTCTTCGTTGCCCAGTCGGATAAATTCCAGAATCTCCTCCGGCTTTGACAGTTCAGCTGGGATCAAGGCCCAAGCTCGCAGCCTGTTAGGGATTTCATCCCTATGGACGGCAACTAAGTCTGCTCCGGGCCACAGCTGTCTAATCGTGGAGATCGCTTTCTTCTAGAGCTGGAGCGCGCATTCATCTGCACACGCAACCAGCTTTACCCGCCCCTGATGCCACCCAGCATCACAGACGACTGGTGCAGGGCCGGGATACTTCTGGAGTATCCCTTTATACACCCTGCATAGACCCATCAGTACGGACTTCCAATTGTCCTTGCTAATGTGGGCCTCCTAATGGCCCTTATCCAGCACCGCTAGCGTAAAGTGCTCTTTGGCGGCCTTGCTGAATGGCTTCATGGTGGACACGGCGGTGGACGGACGGTTAGAAGGGGAGGAAGCCCTATACCTTTTGGATCCACTCGAGGTGTCGTCCTGAGATCGTTGTCTCTTGGGGTCTAGGTCCTTCCGTGAGTTTGCCTTAATGGGTGGTTTGTCCTTCCCACCTTTCCCGGAGGATCGCTTGTCGCTGGCGGCGAAGACTCCCATTGCCCACTTGAGGGCGGCTTTTTGTTCCTCCGTTAGTTGGTCATGTGGAATGGCACCCAATCTTTCAATGACCTTAGGGGCTGCCCTACGGTCGCGCTTAGTCCTGACGGAGGGCAGAATTATTTTTGCTGCATTGGAGCAGCCCAGGCGCCGATCGAGGTCGTTTGTCCCAATCTTCGGAGTTTTACTCACAGAAGTAGTCCCCTGCTTGTCCGTGGAGGATTTGGGCTCGGCTACTGCCCCCTGCAAGTTGGATGTGCCCGGGGTGGGCATACAGAGAGGGGCCGTCCACAGCTTCTCCACCGGAATCGACTTTCCCTCGCGTGTATAATTCTTCCGGTATCGCTGGAAGTTTGCTTTCCCTCTCGGGGGCTTAGCATTCCCTCCAGATTCTGCGGAGGACCGCAACTGCTTGGGCCGTGCAGGCCCCTTTCTTCGGCGCTGTCGATGCGGGTCCCGAGATGGTGGGTTTTTTGGACTTATCTTCGCCGTGTCCAGCGGCAGCACTACCCGTGCAGCGTTCCGAGGTTGCTTTGTTCTGATTCACTTTCGTCTGGTTTTTTGGCAGCTTAATAAGCAGAACCTATTCGGCGGCCGGAAAAAAGGAAAGGGGAAAAACGGTCGACCACGGCAGAGTCCCATGCCGCAGGAAGTCCACTGTAACTCCCGGAGGGGGACAGGTATCCGGGAGGTGCACTTAGAACACAGTTGGATAGCCCCCTGACTGCAAACCGTCCAATGGGTACGGTGATGCATGGCACCCTGGATTAGGGGCGTTTTATATCCACCGCCAGCTACCCCCTAGAAATAGCCTCAGTAGGCCCACCCCAGCTTCGCTAGAGCGAGCCCATACGGCCTGCCACTAGACGTGGCAGTAGAGTTTATACCTCGGCCTTAGCTAGGCCCCGCCTGCTTGCACCACTGCGGCAAAGGAGCAAGCCTATGCTGGCGCAGCGGAAAATATATCTAGGAGGATTTTCGCCAACCATGAAACCATGTTTAACATTCATGATTATCCAGTAAAAAATATCCATTAACTTGCTAGAAAGTAATTTCCGAAAATCGGTCTTAATGAGAGAAGTATCCAATACAGTACGAAAACGCTAGCGTTGCAAGTAATTACTGGTTTCGTGGTATTTTATTAAAATAGTTTTATTTTGGGATTTTTAACTTAACTCTTCCAAAAATCTAGTCCTTAGTAGTTTATGTTAAGTGCAAGATGGAGCATGTAATCAGCTGTTTTTCTTACTGCAAATCCTTACAAGTAAAAATGTATCCAGTTAGACTTGCTACGCTATCAAATTTCCACTTCTTTGGAAGTTTTTTTTTTTTAAACATGAAAATCCCCATTCTGAAATCTGTCGTACGTTCGATTTTGTTACGAATCGGAAAATCGGTATGATGTAATCCGTATTGCCGAATCGTAATTTTGAAATCGTAGGCCACTTTCATAATTCGTAATGTTGTTTGCCCGACGTAGCTCTAAATTTTAAGTATTTTGCGCAAATTTTTTACGAACAGCATTACGTAATTTAAGCAGCGCATAAAAACGCCCAACCCCAAGTCATGGGCTTTTCTAGTACCATGTTCCTTCAGTGAAGAACCTCAAAACTTCCACCAATCGACATAGAGAAACCACTTACGAAGATTTTACACTTACTCCATAATACCTAATGAGCTTTTGAATGCATTTTTGTTAATGCGAAACTTTTCCAAAGTCTTTAAACATTTTAATCTTTTTACGTTAATATTTCAGTTAGATGAATTACACAACTCCTAACAATCTCATCTTCAGATTCATGCGATTGTTGCCTAAAGCAGCGGCAACAGCATCTACATTTTAATTAAAGTTCTATAAGTGGTAACTAGTTTGTTCCCATACTCCAGGATTTGAAGGTTTTCCTGTAAATCCTGCAGTACAGGAAAAGACTAAATATTTGTTTATTTATTCCTGCCGAAATAACTGATTAAGTGCTTCGAGTTTCCTGTTTTTGGTTGGCAGCGCGGCGGATAGTTATGAACGGATTACTCCATGCCATTTTTGTATTTTGCGGAGCTCCGATTTCGTAACTACGAAAATTCGCATTCCAGCATAGGGTTGGAAAACCCTTAACAATTTTTCGAACTATTATAAACTATCGCGTAAAAAACAGAACCAATGTTAAACATCATTCAGCTTACCAATAGGGGATGGGCAGGTACTGGGCTGCAAAGGTTCCAGCCGTACAATCAAAAATGAAGAAGAGGATTCCAAGTCCGACTGACGTTGATGTAAAATGAGGCAGTAACTTAAATAAGCTTCTAATATGTATGTTCCAAATAAACATTTAGGTTTGAGTTCAACTTGAGCCTAAGTTGAGAACTAAGATACTTCTCAAACCTCTAACCTTGTTTCTCAACTATAGCTCAATCCATTGTTTCTCAACTTGAGAAAATTATAAGTAGTTCTAAACTTGTTCTTCAACGTGTTCCCCAAATGAATCTTTAATGTATGCTTGAAATACTGAATTAAAAATTAAATATAAAATTTTCGATCTAAATTTCAAACCCCATGATAGCACGATTGGAGAATGATGTTGGACATCAACTTGAGAACTATGAAATTCTCCAAGGTTTGAGATCAATTGGAGAACGATGTTGAATATCACCTTGAGAACTATATATGTTTCAAGGGCTGGAGAAATATATTGTACATATTCGTCAGGTTCGCTCTTTACATTATTCTGTAAAAAAAATCATACAATTAAATAAACTCTCGCCTTTGCAAAGTTTTTCAGTAAATCTGAATTTAGTATAAAAGTTAGCCACTTTCCAACCACCTAATATGTAGATTTTGAACCACCAACATTTTTCACTTACGCGCTTACGTTTATCTCACCTAAAGTGATTCGATAGATTTAGATTGAGAATTTAAGAATATTAAACTGGAACCACATTCTTCAAATATTCTATCATCTGTCCACCAATTCTCATTTAAAGCCCATTAATAGTTTGCTTGAATAGTCAAATATGAGTAATTCTTTGTGTGAAAAAATTCGGCCTATAAAATCTCATAAAACCAATAAACTTTGAACATTTTTTCAAACAAATCAGTATATTTAATTTTATTAATTGTGATCAAACTGCTTTTTGCATAGAAGTGTTCCCTCATCCAATAATGTTGCTGCAACATACCATTGGCCAACCAGTCCTATTTTGCCACCTGTATCTAGTAGAACTCCACATTTAGTGCCTGATACTCACATGCCATCGAATGGATCTGCCGCAGTTAATAGCTACGCATCTTCCAATAAATACGGCAGCTGAATAGAAGAAAACGAGTGCTCCATGCCCGTCGCCAACATCGAGATGCCCACAATATCGATTCCATTACCACTAACATCGCCTCGGTCAAAGCTTACAAGAGCATCTACGCTGACGCCAACAGCAAACTACATCGGCGGTGTCAAACACAATTCCCATTTGTCATTGATTGTCAGCCGAAAAATACCTAAAACTTTACATCTCATCATGGAGACTGCGATATCCGAAGATGCTGAAATAAATCTACTAGATTCTTCAGAAAGTTCATCAACTACAACACAACAACAAGAAGGATCACGCCCAGCATCACCAACCACATGCACAACAGCCACGTCCATGGCTAACAATAAATTCACCAGGAAGAGAGAACGTCTTTATAATAGCTATAGCTATATAAATAGTGCTAATAGTACTAATTCTAATGATTTCATTTTAAAGTCAGACCATTTTAAGACTTTCTCGAAATGAAAACTATCTTACTATTTAAGAATATCACCAAATACAAAATACATACGAATGTACGTACATACATACATATGTAGCTTACTTACAAACAGATCAAAAATCGATCCTTACAAATAATATGTAAATACTTTATTGAGTAGGCATGGTAGGCAGAAAAGTACTTTGTAAATATGTATGTACATTAGCAATGCGCGCATAATTTTAAGTACATATGTATGTACATTAGATGTATGATCGAAACTGCTCAGAGTTTTGCCAAAAGCCCAGAAAATTTCAGGCATACACAGTTGACCCTTAAGCATAATATAGCGTCCAATATAGTCTTGCTCAACAAATTCTCTCAAATCGATTACGTCTTGTTCGTCTGAGCTTCAATGTCTGAGCCGATTGCTCGTAATTAGCAGTCTCAGAGTCAGCAAAAAAAATTCTAGGAAATGACGATATATGTTGCACTCAGAAAAAGGTTTAGTTATAATAACCAAGATTTGGTTATAG